GCTAAAATTTAAAAAAAGCGTTTTGTATTTCATTCATGTTATTTATTTACATATGCATGTACAAAAATTACATTACTTGATTTCCTAGCAATTTTAATAAAAAACTGTTGCTGTGAGTTGTAAATGCCTCATTTTGGATCAGCATCAGATGTTGAGAATACATGTTCCTATAAAAATAAGATAAATTTTAAGAAAGAGCCTTTCATGCATTTCAAATTCAGTAATTACAAATAAATAAATAAACAAAAGGAAGGATTCACTGTAAATGCCTGAGAAATGTAGTTACAAGTAAGAATTTTATACCCAAAATATAACCAAAATACGCATTTAACCACAAATATGACCAAAAACATAAGAATGACCTAAATATTCATTTATATGCAAAATAAAAACAATCTAATTGTGATTAGAATAACCAAATTAGTGTTTAATTTCAGTTTAGAATGAAAATAGAAGCCTCAATAAAAATATGACATGTCACGAACATCCGAACCCTACTTAGTGATCAGTATATAAGTTTACTTTAAATAGTTGGCTTCGACCCTGTTTAACAGACTTATTTTGGTTTCCTGTTTGATTCAAGCTTCATGGATTTTGAAGAGAACAAGTGACTGCTTTCATTATTTTGACTTCATCTATCATCTGTCGAGAGTTTTTAATCCATTATCAGGTACCGAGGGAGACACCTACTCCGCTGAATTTGGTTCCTTCCAATTTGTGGACAGCTGGAGATGGCTTGGTCCACTGGATCTGGTAGAGTAGGTGTCTTCATCGATACCTGATGATTAGGGAAGTTTAATCCTTTGCGCCACTGTGATTTTCGAAGTAATTATTAATATAATACCAATCACCAGAGACATTTAGAGACCAGCAGAATTCTGTATAGTTTAAACAACATATGTGTTAGCAGAGGTTTAACAAAATCCAAATTCTGAAATTCCAAAATTATCCCCAATTGCTCTGCAATCACATACATGAAGAAGATATAACATTTTCTTAATTCTAGGAATTTCCAAACTTTTGATGCCGGTCAGCCGACTGAGGCTTCCTATGCAGGAGGTCCATTATATAGCGCTAATCCTTATATGGACCCATTAGGGGAACCTTCTGCCTACCATGGCGGGGTATTCACTCCATCTGCATCTTCAGATAGTCAACCAGGATTTGGAAATGCCGCCTCGTCATCCGACTTCGAGGATGAACCACCGCTTCTGGAGGGTATGTTTTGCCTTACGCACTTTGTCCTGCGAGGAGATATCCAGGAACCAGACATTTTTCTAAATGTTCACCGAGCATTATTCAGATTATTTTCAGGTGCTACAGTTGCATATGGGGATCTGCAGTGGCCGCGTGGTCTGAGGCGTGGGCCTTGTGCCGCTTGGTCGCTGGGACCGTGGGTTCGAATCCCACTCAAGCCATGGATGTTTGTCTGCGTTTTTCTGTGTTGTGCTGTCCTGTGTACAGGTAGAGGCCTCGTCCAAGGAGTCCTACCGAATGTCTATAGATGAAGCCAACGAAAAGTTGGGACCCGCAGTGCTCAGGCACTTGAAGAACTGGTCGTTCCCAGTATCCAGCACTCGTATATGCCTGTGATATTCAGATAATTAAAACTGAACTGGTACACAATGTAATGAAACAAAACAAAATATATTCTAAATGTTGATAGCGACATTTTATACCTTTGACGCTCGGACTAAAATAGTTCTTTTGCGGTGCCCATCCATACTAATTATCGTGCTGTTGAAATTATTGGACGTACCCATTACAGTATGAAAATGTATACAGGATTGTGTTATACTTTATAATTACCGCGTTAGTAATTATCTGTAGCATTGGCCGTTAATAGAATGCGATGGAAATTCAGCTTAGCGAGATACGTAAAATTTTGAAAGTTCGTTATCTGGGTCTTCAAAATAATCACAAACGTTGATATACAGTGTGTCCACGAAGTCCCTTCGGAGTTTTGAAAACTTGTGGCGCGCAAACAAATTGAGCTAGCCACGTGCGGTTTGCGGCAGATTACAGTGAAACTCTGGAAGTTTGTTTTGCCGAAGTTTTTTATTACGAAATATCACTCGTGTTTTGGTCTGGTTATGACGGCTGCAGTTGAGCTTCGTGAACGTTATGAAACTAAGCTGATACTTCACTTTTTGATATTGAAACATATAACATCCTGTTTTATAATTGAATATGACCCCATAATGAAGAAGGTTAATTCTGAAAAATGAAAATGTTCAAAATAAGTTTGGGAAAGGAAGTTGGGTTCTAAAACGTTTATAGACCTGGCACCACGTCAAACCTTACTTATTTATTCACGGGTTGCAATGACATTTTATTAGAAATGCTACTAAAATGAGCCTATTATTACAAACAGGTACTACTCAGTAATTTAATTTAACAAAATTGGACCTTTTTTAGATATCTGATGCTGCATTTGCTTGAGTAATAATTAAATATCAGGATTAATTTCTGTCGTTGCAATTTTCATTCCAAGCGATCATCAGTGAGACATGATTTGGTATTCTTCATTGAGCAGAATAGATTTTCATGGCGATAGATTCTTCCAAGTAGACTTTACTGACGACATTAAGAATACATGTTTTCTGATTTTAAGAAACTGTTCTTCGTCATACCATCTGACGAAGTTTTACAAAAATGTATGGCAGGCACATAAATGCCATTGCTGTAAACAACACTTTTGTAACTTTGATTGATTTCTACAATAACATTTTGAAAGTGTGGCCGTTCTTTCTCAGACATTTTGTATCTAAAAGATCTGTGTTTTGTGCCACGTAAAAATTGTTTGTATGTTGAATCTTTTTTGAGAAAGTCATTCAAGTTTGATTTGAGCTTCATATTAAGTAGGGCTTGGTCACTGCTAGCAAAAATTAAATTCTGGCCACAATTTTTATTGCAGCCTTTTTGTTTCTGTTTTCATCTAAATGTCTTCAGTACCTAAGATGAGACATGCTGATGGACCAATTCCCGTTATGCATTCATTTTGTCCATTTCAAGCAAAGAACGCGTAAAGACTAACATACGAGTACAAAGACCGAAGAGTACTAATTGCGATATACGAATCCAATCAGTAAAATGTACGATGTCTTGAGTTTAGAAATTTGACAGCAGAGAAGAGCCCCCAGATGCTAGAGTCTTGCTAGTACGGGGAATGTTTTATGCGCCGGCTCGCTTGCCTTATCCTGAAAAAGTGTCTGCGATATATTCTTGTTAGAGGGATATTTACGGCCACAACTTGTGTTACTCTAGCTGTAGTTGCAATGTGCAAGGAACTTACATTGTCTTATACATTGTTATGGTGATGGCCTCAAAAATATGTACTGTTGTCTATGCAGATTCAGATTGGACGACAGACTCATTTCGTCATCCTCATTTTTCGCTGTCGAGAATTTTGATTGACAGGTTCAATACTTGAAATGCTTTCTAAATATTACATGGTGGCTACTCCATGTGTTGTGACAGTAGTAGCCTTTTAATATCGGGTTCTAGTCATATGTTATGATGTCGATTTATTCTGCCAACCGCAAGCCCGCGGGCGTCAGCATGATCTTTGTTTGTTTTGTTTGTTTGTCATCAGTCTTCCGACTG